TTCCCAAACTCCGTTTGGGGAACATAATAATAATAATAAGAAACCGAGTAAAAACAATATGTTCCCAAACTCCGTTTGGGGAACATAATAAACATACGCTCTTGAAATTTAAAACATAGAAATTTGAGAATATCTCCAATATTTGTATTATGTTTTCATGTGAATCCATTGTGTACGTCATATTTTGTAATACTCAATAAAAATAGTAAAATTTGCCAATTCTTTGCATTTTGAGATACCCCCTCTGCTAACAAGACAGTAGAATTTTGTGTTTCTTACATATATTGTATAATATAGTATTACTCATCAAATATTATAGTTTGAACAAAATGTCTATTGTAGTATTTGTATAATTTGCTCTAAAGTGCTAAAAGATGGCATTTTCCTATATAATCCTATAGTAAATCTACCTGTATTTTGAGACGGTCCCTCAAAAATACCTGGACAGTAGATTTCCCCCAAACTTTGCATGTACACTGAAGTTAATGTAAGTTATATATGGTATAAAAATGAAGAGTTTCACTATTGTAGTTTTCACACAATAAAACTATAGTCGGCCCCCTTAATGCCTTTTTTAGTGAAATTGTATTATGTACGTAGAATTTAAAACAGATGTTGCTTATTTTACAGGCATGGGCCAAGTCGGAGCAAAATCTACTGACAAAACATTATCCTCGAGCCAAGCATATTGTGATAAACAGTGCAGACAGACATATGTTGTATAGAAATCCTGACGCTATTTCAGAGCAAGTCATTAAGATGATAAAGCAAGTTAGAAACAAATTAAGAATTAAAAGTAGTTAGCATTGTGTGACTTCTTGTTTTTCAAAGCATCCTCTAATCTTTTCAAGTCGAGTGGTTCTTGAGAAGAATAAAACAAGAGGCCCATGGGCCACATCGCTCACCTGAGTAAGTTAGGTAATATAGTTCTTTAGCAGATTTCCCCTCTTCCTATACATGTACCTATCGTGCCCCCTACCCCCTCCCCTTACATGATTTTAATATTTTAGAATCTACACTACCCAAAGATGCTTCCACATAAGTTTCAGCTTTCCTGACCCAGTGGTTCTTGAGAAGAAGATTTTAGATTTTTATATATTTCTATGTAAAATTTGCATTCCCTATTTTGACCCCGCCCTACCCCCGGGGGTCATGATTTAACAATATAATATTAACACTACCCAAGGATGCTTCCACATGAGTTTCAAAAGAAGAAGATTTTTAAAGATTTGTTCTATATATTTCTATGTAAAACTTGGATTTCCTATTGGGGCCCCGCCCTGCCCCTGGGGGTCATGATTTTAACAATTCAATATCTACACTACCCCAGGATGCTTCCACAAAAGTTTTAGCTTTCCTGGTCCAGTAGTACTTGAGAAGAAGATTTTTAAAGATTTGTTCTATATATTTCTATGTAAAATTTGCATTCCCTATTGTAAAAATACCCCCGGGGGTCATGATTTTAACAATTTAATATTTACACTACCCAAGGATGCTTCCACATAAGTTTCAGCTTTCCTGGCCCAGTGGTTCTTGAGAAGAAGATTTTTAAAGATTTGTTCTATATATTTCTATGTAAAATTTGCATTCCCTATTGCAGCCATGCCCTACCCCGGGGGTCATGATATTAACAATTTAATATCCTCACTACCCAAGGATGCTTCCATAAAAATTTCAGCTTTCCTGGCCCAGTAGTTCTTGAGAAGAAGATTTTTTAATGACCCCACCCTAAAACATTATCTCCCCTTGGCCCTTCATTTTAACAATTTAAAATCTCCCTCACCCAAGGATGCTTTATAGAAGTTTGGTTAAATTTCAGAGCATCGGTTCTTCTTTTCGAAAATGTGAAAAGTTTACAAAGTACGGGCGGCATTGTGTGACGACGGACAAAATGTGATCAGAAAAGCTCACTTGAGCCTTGGTTCTTGAGAAGAATTAAAAAATATTCCTATATTATTACATTATATAACTACTTATTTCATTATAATTTAATTCTGGTTGTAACGCTCTATTTGATTGGATAAAAAATTTACCTTATATCGTATAAAATGGGTTGCCTACGTATCAATCCGCCTGAGGTTACCTTCAAATTTTGTACAAACTGAAGTCATTTTGTTAGAACAATCATCTTTTTTTCTTACATCAAATGAATGAAAATTAATTTATAAGCAATGAATTTAATAGCTACCCATTTTATATGGTATAAACTGGGTTGGAACAGTTTACGCCTTTTTTTTTCCCGCGGTTTATAAAGCGTAAACTGCCTCAACCCAGTTTATACCGTATAAAATGGGTAGCTATTAAATTCATTCCTTAAGTAAAACTTAGATCATTTATTGTGGACCATTCCTACCCCCTATTATGTATAATATTTTATACATTCCATTGGTATAGCTTATCTTTCTATCCATCAGATTTTGGTCATTTGACAGCTACACTCAGGTTACAACTTTTACTTCCAACTCTTTGTTGGAAGTTTGGGTATATACATATATAAACTTTTGCAATTTAGCATATCCAAATAAAACAAGGTGTGTTTGTGAAACAGTATGCCCCCGATGGTACATGTACAGTGGACACGCTTTGGTTGTCAATTTGTCCGGATACATCCGGATATCTGAATCACCAGTTAAACAAGACAGAATAAAATTTTTAAATTTCGTTGCGATGAAAAATCGTCCGGATACTGAAGCATCCGGATATCTGGCGTCCGGATATCTGAAGGTCCACTGTAGTACATTCTATATTGGGATGTAGACTGAAGTGGTATACATTTACCCTCGATAAACAGAACAAAAACAATATACCCCCGGATCTTTCAATCTCGGGCATAATAAAATGTCCCCTATTCTGAAGATATATGGTTGTTATTCCCCCATGAAGCTGCAAGGTTTCGTGATCAAACTGCCTCTGATCTTCTAAAAATAAGCTTTGAGCTTCGTGTACACTTAATCAAGTGAAATTCATTTCACTCTTTCTTAAACCTATAATACAGTGAGATAACATCACTAACTGTAAATTCATCAAAGACCAAAATAAAATAAAACATTTATAAATGCCCCCTGCCCAAACTAGAACTGTCCAATAGGGACAAATACCCCCCGCTGGGTTTTTCAGAGAAGGTGCCAATTCAAAAATACTTTATGGATCTAGAGGTGTTCACAATTTACTTACAAAAATTTGCAGTGAAATATAATTGCTCATCATGTTTCTTAATGAATGAAACAAAGGTGCAACCAAATGAAACATCAATACTAAAACATTGTAATTCCATTGTAACATTATTTTTTTTATTTATTTTTTTTTATTTCTGCAGTCACTCTGCAAACTGATTGTTGAAAAAAAATCATATTATACAAAATCAAATTAATCTTGATAACTTTATATCAAATTCATTTGAAAATAAAGAGCTGGTCATCCAGTAATGAAGTGCTTTGACAGACAATAAATTACAATTAAGAGAATAAGAGAAGAGAGATCTTTAATTCTTGTGCCTGATTCCCAGGAGATTACACATGGTTGATAATGAGATGCCTTAATGTTCAACTTCCCACACCAAACTCATTAATTTATCTTTAACTGGATGCATGTCCAGTCATCATTCCCAAGAGATAAATAAAATTACATTATCTTCTGTGCAATGTAAAAACTGTTTTTAACACTTGATGATGTTTCTTTTTTTTAAGTTTATATGAGTAGTTTTAAGCTGTAGTATTTTTGTACAGATATTCTAGATTCTATGTCTCAAACCTTATACATGAGCCCAAAATGAACAAGTCAATTAAAATAAAAAATAAAACCTGTAAAATGCAAAAAAATGAACAAAAAGAATTGAAAATTCCAGTTGCACACCTTCATATGGTGAATAATAAGTGTACAAATTTTCAGATTAATCCTTGCAATAGTTTCTGAGAAACGGTCTGGACAAAACCACAAAATAAAAATGGAAAAACACCTGTAAAATTCAAAATAATAATCGAATCAAAATGAAAATAGCAGGTGCACAACTTCATATGGTGAATAATATTTGTACAAATTTTCAGACAAATCCGTCCAACAGTTTCTGAGTAATGTTCTGGACAAAATCTCGTCTACAGACAGACAGACGGACATGTGTTGATTAACTAATATCCATCTGCAGCTTTAAATTGTTTATTGCATATTTTATGAAATAATTGGAATTTTTCTAAGTCCAAGGGACATAACTGTCAAAATGTTTCAGACTCATTACAGCATTTCTCAGCTTCTCAAAATAAAATGACACAAAATTAAATGCTACATATACAATTTTACTGTGCCTTTACTGTTCTGTATTTAACTTTTTGCTGTAATTTACAACTTATACATGTAGTCAAATACAGATCTGAACTGAAAAGAAAGAATAAAGCTTAACAGGTTCAATTTTAAGGTTTTTATTACTGTAAATGGATGAATATGAAGCCTATATAAAAATTTAAATAAAGTGAGCTAATTAAAAGCACAAGCATACTGGAGACTTGAATTCAAAACCCTTGCCAAAAAAAGTTGGGTTAACAACACAGAATCTAACAAGTAGAAACACTGCACCATTTTTTCTTTCATACCCTGCAAGTCCATTGAACAATATGAACCTAACACAAAAAGCACTTTTTAAATGAGAGCTATTTTACTAGTAATGAGGGGGAAAAACTTTGGTGCATGCAGCAGTAGAATTTCTCAACAATAAATACAAAAATTTTTTGGGGATTATGAAATTTAAAATTTTCCAGTAATTCTGCATTTTAATATTTATAATGTATAAAATAATCCTAAAGTGTAATTGTAGAATTTAACTTTTGTTACAAAATTTCCAGTTTTCTACATATGGAATGGATTTCCCCATTTTAAAGATTCTTGGCAGTAAATGAATTTCAAGCAGTGCTCCTAAAACTTTAAGTAAATCATGTTACCATTTTACCTTTACACAGAAGAATGACAACCATGCTACATGTATATGTACACATATCAAATATAAACTGTGATATGTTGGAAGAGAAGACACTTTAATGAAAGATACAAGTACATAAGCTTGTTTACATATAAAAAAAAAAATAACAAAAATATAACAAAAAAGTGGAGAAACAAGACTTGCACTTAAGATTTCCATCCCTCTGCAAGGACAGTAGAAACCTTGACATTATCTTTTACTTATGTTCTACTTCTAAAATGTGGATTAAAATCAATCTCAATTAATAAGGAAATGATTATCAAATCAAAAGAATGCAACATTCTGAAAGTACAAATATTTCAACTATATAGAGAAAACACTGATGTTTATATCAGCAATATGCATTCGGAATTGGCAATGTAAATCGCTCAGCTGCTGATTTTCACAATCTGTCAGAGGGATGGATAACCAAAATCTTTATCAAAGCATAGAATAAATAGTTAACGTCATCTAATGTGGAGATATATCTGTCAAATTCCCCAAAAATTTAAAACAAAGGCTACACAACCGTTGTGTTAAATTCACAGAAAAAAAGTTATGCAAACAAAAATGAAAACTTCACCATGAAAAGTCCACATAAGGACAGGGAAAAAAAAAAAAACATGTATATTTCAATAAAATGACCCTACAAATATACTGTATTAAATACAATTAAAAAATAACATTAATATTATGTATATGTCTTATTCAAAGGAAATATCTAATATCTTTATGGTATAAAATACAAGGTGGGTTTATAAATGTAAGCTAGACAAACATTTGTTCTGTGGTAAACTACCACTTTTTTTTTTATTACACTCTACACATCCCACAATACCTCCAAAATCATTTTCTCATAAAACGAGATTTTGTAAAATACATGTAAATTTGTGCATCTATTCTTTTCAGGGGGTTACACAAAGCAGAATTTAAGTAATGCCCGTCTTAAAGGAACACATCAAGATTACTTCCAAGAAACCTTGAACAATGGTCAAATGCTGCCTTGATTTAACAAGAAATAGGAAAATAAAATCAAAAATAATTTCCAAATACCTTGCCAAGATTCAAGAGATTTTTCTGGAATCAACTTTTAAGCACACACTGACACTTGTATCCATTAGTTCACAATAACAATGATCACAACATACATTTGGTCTAAGGCAAGACAAAGATAATAAGAAATCTAGCTATTCCTGATGAAGTGGATTGGTTATCCTGCAACAAGGTTCCATCCTCCACAGAACTTGGACTTGACTGGAGTCCCAATTAACCTTGATAATCTACATTATAGAACACCTGTCTGAACCTGCCCTCTGAAAAGCAACAAGAAAGAAAGGATTAATGAAATTCCCTGTTCAAGTACATAGTTTTAACCAATACATGTATCTAGTTATATTTATAAACTTATTTATATCTACTTTATTTTTAAATTACTCATAACAAAATGTCTATATTTCAGATTAAGAATAGATTTTGTCTGAGATCGATATACAAGTCCCTCCTATTTAAAATGTATTCTAAATAAACTCCAAATGACTTTTTTTATAAAGTCATTATTTGATTGCTGTCAAGATACATGTAACTGTATATAAACCAAAGAAATTATCAAAATACATCCCATCTGATGGCAGGAAAAACTTAAATTTGAATTCCACTGCTTCAAGCCACTCTGTTCTCTAGTTAATTCTTACCCCTGATCCCTCAGCCTCAGACCCTGACAGTGGTCGGTAAGTAGAGGTAGTGATCCTTTGAATCTTCTTTGTCATTGTCCTCCTTGCCACCTCCTGGTAATAAATAAATAGAAATTTATTTTAATTGCATTAAAATAAAGAACACAATACATATAATGAACACTGAAAATCTACAAAATGTCCCCAAATAACACTTCAAATCTATAAAGATTTCCAAATATCACTGTAAATCTACAAATGCCCTAATGACATACACTTACCTCTCCATCTGAATTAACCAGAAGACACACCATGGTTTCTTTGTTAGGGACCCATTTGGTACCTTTCATGACAAGGTCAGTTGGTGGATTATGTGTTTGACCTGTGCCAGAACTCCAAACCTAAAGCAGAAAACAATCACTATTTTATGACTTACACATTATCACAAAAGGTTCCTATTTCATAATAAAATTTCAGATTTTCCAAAAGCATTGCTTTTTCAATCAGATACAAAATGAGATTTGCTACTTTACGAAGTGGCAACTACATTTAAGTATACTCACTGTACACATCTGCCCTGCCTTTATTTGGAGAGAATGGTGAAATTTGTATTGTGCTTTATTTTCTGCATCCTCTGCCTCTGAATGGCGCAATTGTAATTGCCAGGTTCCTAAAGCAACATCCTGTGAAACACAAACACTCCGAACTTTATATCTAAGAAAGCTGGTACATGTATTTTCAGGGCTTAGCCCTGATTTTAACAATACCATTTTCCCAAAGGATGCTTTGTGCCAAGTTTGGTTAGAATTGGTTCAGTGTTTCTTGAGAAGTTCAAGAATGAATGCCATCCAATTGTCATAATGGAGGAATACGACTAAAGCAACCTTAGAACGACATACTAGTTATACCAACTGCTCTGTTAATGGACATATGCAAATTTATCATGTTAACTGCTATTAAATGAAATTTTGCATTTGTTCTACTTTTTTTTGTTTTTAAATATTGATGCATTTTCAGGAGTTGATCTTTCTTTTAAACAGTTGAAGTTAAAATCTCAATATTTATTGAGCAGCCCTAGTACATTGGAACTTCGGTATCTCGAATTCCGCTATCTCGAATACCATGGATATGTCGAAGTGATTTGGAAGTCCCAACCACATATTCTTCATGTATTTTACCTTCGATATCTCAAATCCTTGGATATCTCTAAGTTTTTTTTCTCAGTCCCATCAGGTTCGAGATAACGAAGTTTGAATGTCTATGGTAGCTGAATGTTGGTATCTGAATGCTCTGCTAATATCTTGGTTTTGCAAAATTAAGTAGTTTTTGTTAGCACAACAAACCTACCTCATGTGAGGTGTTGTGAAGCCGAATAAATTTCCCATCTGTGTCAATTTCTTCAATGCTAACATTGCCAGTGGCATTTGATTCTGCAGAAAACCCTGAGGTAGAATGAGATTCAAACTCCTGGACTTGTGATGACAAGGCTACTCTTTTTCTCTTGTGTCCCCTCCTGCTGCCTGGAGTGGATCCAGGAGAAGAAGTCTGTGACAGGTTCAACCTGAAAAAAAAATACCACTCTAAATTGCAATTTTAACATTTCACACCTTAGAAACAAAACCCTAGCAAGTTAAATTTTCCAATATTTTGATAAAAGAGAAAGGAAGAAAAAAAAGTAAATATATAAGTCATCTAAAGCTTTATCCAAATGTACCAATTTTATTTACAGTCCAGATCTATAAATAAACATGACTTGCCTTTCCTCTTCTGTTTCCAATAGCTTTCTGTAAGTGGTAATCTCATTGTCCAGTTTGATCTTGATCTCTAGAATGTCAGCGTACTCTTGACTCTGCTCTTCCATGGCAGCTCTGAGGTCTGATATCTCCTGGTCTTTAAGGGCAAGTCTTTCTTCATACTCCTCTTGTTCCCTGGTAAGTCGAGACTGCAGGTTCAACACCTGGGCCTCCAAAGCTGCATTCTGAAAAGAATATTGAAGATGACGTAACATGTAGGGCATGTTCATATAAATTTGTATTTTGAATATGAACAAATGACAATGTAATTCAAAATAATAATGTGCAGATAAGATAGATGGTCAAATAAGATTTTTTTCTTTTTTACATGATATAGCACACCAAAATAAAAGCTGACTCTCTGTGCAAGTTAACAGATCAATGATTGTTTTAATACATCAGAACTCAATATTTCATTGAAGTTTATTGGTGCTATCTTGTTTTAGAATTACCCATGCAAAAGTTACAACATATGAGCAAATTATTATTAATGCAATACCACAAAGTTTTTTAAAAAACAAATCCAAGTTAATTCAAATCCTAGTTATTGAGCGCTATAACAATTATTTCAAAATTTCAAGGTAAATGGCAGTGGACTAATTTTCTTTTTTTTTGCATGAAAAGATAAAACATTGGTAATATAAAATATCTCTGATGCATTTTGTACATTTCAGTGTGTGTTTTGTCTTGTTCATCCAGTCGTCAATGATATTTTACGACTGCAACCATAACCAAAACTATACTAAATCTGGTTCAGTGGTTTTAGAGAAGTTGAAAATCTAAAAGAGTTAGAGACCGATGTATGCCACATGAAAATGGACCAAAACACATTGACCAACAGATGAAACATGTGATTGTCATAGGCACCTGCAAAATACACGCAAGAGCCGAAAGCAGACAGGTACTTCATGTGCTTTCCATAAGTGTGGAATTTAATCACTTTGGTTTCATTTACAACCTCACCAAAATAAGAGTTTTTTTGAGCAGGTTTATTAGATATTAAATTTGAAACTCCAGTAAAAAATGTAACTCTTCTAAACACTCCATTTGTAAAGAGCAAAAGCATTTATTCTGTTTTGACGTTTCTTACAAAATCATGTGTCTCTTTTTCAACCCTTATCCACTTGTATTTCTGTTAGAAATTACATTAAACATAAAATATACAATAGAATGGAAGCAGACTTTACTTAAATTATTTCTTGTTAGACATAATGTCTTCAGTATGTATGTACATTTTTTTTTTTATTGTCAGAAGTACTTCAGGCAGTAGTACATTAACTTATTTTTCCAAGATCTAATTTTTATATTATGTAATAATGAAACTAAAACAGAATATTAAAAAACTGAATCAAGACACTTTACCTCTTTCTTTAGTTTGGTGACCTCTGACGATAACTCATCAACTCTCCTCCTTGTGATCTTAATCTCGTCTGTGGAAGCTGTGGGTCCACTCATACTTCTGTCCAAGGCATTCTTCAGATTGCCAACCTTTCATTAATCATTTAATTTGTCAAGCATTAGCTAATTGTTAAGTTATAAACAAACTTCAAAGATATTCAAAATTGGCTACAAAGATCTCGATACTGACATATGTTGTCTTGCACCATTCTTACCCACCCACCCCAAAAAAACAAAATAGGACTGAATCATTTTTTGATATATTATTCTTCTTACATTTAATAACCCCCAAACAGTGGGGTTTGCACACTACAAAACACTTCACAGTACTGGGTAACAAAGAGAATATCTGACACACCTGTCTTTCATGAATAAGTTCCAGTTCTGCTCTAACTTCCTGGAGCTGCTGATCATGCTTGTCTCTCATTTCCTGTAAGGCTTCCTGCATCTTACTCTCATACTCCTCTCTGAGAGCAGAATCAACATCATCATACTCTGTTGTTGTCTTGACTGACCTCTCATTCAGTTGCTGAAAGAAACATAATTCAGTTTACTTGTCAATCACAATGCTGGCATTGAAACTTCTGAATTATTAAGTTTATACCCATGATTTCCAATTAGTATATCCCTTCTTTTTGTACATCCTTATGGATAAATGTCTGAATGAGTACTGACTGGCAAATTAATATGAAGTTTATTTTGTTGAATGTTTGATTTTCACATATACATATTACGTAATGCAAACAAAACAATGAATTCATGAGATGGTTTATGAGGCTAAATTGCCAGACTTATTACTAGCCAAGTGTGTATAAAAACAGGTAATAAAAGAGGATTACCAACAATTAAAGGATGGAAACCCACAAACAGCCGGAAGTACCAATCATAGTACTGTACCTGTTCATACATCTGCGACTTAAACTGCAGGTCCTCTTTGCTGCTCTGGAGCCTGTTTTGTAGGTCAACTCTTAGAAGTGTCTCATCTTCCAACTGTTTCTTTGCATGAGCAAGCTGACTCTCCAGAGTGGCTATCTCTCCTCTAAGTTTCTACAAAATTTTCAATATTTTTCTCAACTGACTTATTATCCTAATATAGAAAAAATACCATTCAAATACAATAGTTGATGTGGATTTATCAGACGTTTTTATTCAAATTCTTTGGGTTTGGGTGCTGATTTGGAAGAGATAAAACGTCAAGAAAACCTGGCCTGGTCAAATGAAAAGTGATGAAGGAAACCAACATGGCTGATTAAGAAAACCCTTTGAACTTTATGTATTTAAGAATGAACAAACTGAAATTGCCCATAAATTAACTAACCTTTCTGTAGAAAAACTTCATGTTGGAAAAAATGCCTATTTTTATTTTTGGGGGGACATATTTAGAAAGAATTTCATAGTTCACCATCTGACAGATAAAACATGATGGCTGTTCTCCTTTGAAACCTTAAGTGTTCCCTACATGTAATAAGTAAATTTAGAATTCATGTATTGTATGTGTGAGTGTTCTTGTATAGACATTAGTGCTGTTATCAGTATCTCATACATTGACTTCAGTGTCCAGCGCTTTCCTAGCTGCCTCCGCATCACTGGTTCGTGCTTGAAGGTCACCATTTTCCTTCTGCAATCTCTGGGCGGTGTTTTCTGCATCTTTAGCCTCCCTATCTCTCTTTTTGAATCTGTAAACAGTTTGAGATTACAGGAGTTTCTCACAAGGATATTAATTAGGGCCTAATGCAAAGCTTTTATATACCAAATAAACAAAACAATATTTGCCAAATCTATACAACTTCAAAACAAACCAATTTAAGACTGCATATTTTAGCTACAATTTATTTTGAGAAAACAGGAATTGTAATAAAATCATTTTATGGTATGCACGGCAGTATGAATGTGAATTCATAATGCTGAGTGTACAAAATAAACAGAACACTAAGTAGCTTAATACACTCGTAGTGTGGTAAACATGTGCTATCCCAAGGGATGACTCACCCATTCTTTAAATGTCCTACAAAACCAGACATGTGGAACAGAATACACTAAAGACACAAATTTAAATGACTTACGTAACAGTTTAAATCCCCACTTACTTTCCTTTCCACTCATCGGCGTCTGCTTTAAGCTTTCCGTTCTCAATTTGTAATCGGGCCTTTTCTTTGGCTGTATCATCTAAAACACGACGCGCATCCTCCAGTTCCTTTTCATACATAGACTTGACACTGGACACCTCCCGTGTAACTGTTTCCTCCGATGACCGCACCTGCACCAGTAAACGACTGTTCTCGGTTTCTAAATTCCGGATCCTGTCAATATAAGCTGCCAGTCTATCGTTCAGATTCTGTAGCTGGGATTTCTCCTCTTGGCGAGTTATGCGGGCCGGGGATGCCTGTCTGGCACGCCTTCCGGGTGACGCACCCCCGCTAGTTGAGGGCTCATCCTCACTTCGGGTTGACGATCGTTTTGATTTAGTTGGTGTCGCTGTAGCCATCGCGGATCTCACGCCGGTTCTCCTTGCAAATAGAAAATGGCTTCCTTAAACGCGGTTACCCGCCTTTTCAAAGTCACGTGACTAGCCAGAGGGAAAAAATAAAACGCTCGTTATAAACGTAGGAACTGGTTTGGATAATAAAAACCTCTGAGTGACTTATTCATACCGGTAAATCCAAATAAAAATATTTTACTTTTCAACGCCTCGTGCTACTTTGGAAAGAATGCATGACCAAGCAAGAAAATAAATTAAGAATTACTTTTAAAAAGTTGGGTTTGAATTATTTTAAATTTATTTATTTATTTATATATTTATTTATTTATTCATCATGTCAATTTATATGTATATCTGTATAATTTTTTAAATAAAAATAATAAAAGTCGATCAAAAGCATCTTATATTTTCATAATGCTAGCGGGGGTGTTATATAATATTAAATAGCAATTTTAGGTTTTTTTGCTACTGATCAGTGTTGTCCAATATCTTTATTATGATTTTTATTTTCCATTCTGCATGTCTGTACTTTATGCATGCTTGTTCATATTTGTGAATTTCAATGGCTCGATCAATCTGATAGAGACATTTTATTTGGTCAAAACAATTTATTTTAGCTATTTTATGCACAAAGCACTTGGGGGCTGCAAGACCTTTCCGATTTTTTTTTTCGATCATTCGAAGCTGAACAATTTAGATTGTCTGTCAAGTATGTACCATGAAGCTGATATTACAAAGATGTTTGAGTTTCTGATTGACAATTTTATACATATAGATTTTGGAGAACTAGTCTTCCAATAATTTTTCGGAATTCCCATGGGTACCACTCGCGCCTTTGTTATAAGCAGATTTTTGTATTCATATGAAGTAGAATTTATTTAAAAATCTACACATGAGACAAAAACACTGAATGTGGTACTCAACTTGATCTTTATATAGATGTATATTTATATCGATGACCTTAACCATAGTTACTCAGTTCTAGACATATGCATGTCGACTCGCATCTTCAGATATACGGTGACATATACCCACCGGTGATCGCGTCGTAATATAAAATTATGTTGATTTTTAAAACCAGTCTCTTCACTTTTGGAAATACGCTCACTAGTATTCTAGTACAAAGTTGCTATGGTGGTTTATTCCCCCCCCCCCCCCCTCCTACATGCAAGATAAATTATGTTTACATGCAATATAATCAAGTAAACATGCGAAATATTTATGTCAACATGCAAAGTTCATGATTATGTAAAGATGCATCTTATTTATGTCGGCATGCTAGATTAGGTTGAAATGCAACTTATTATCTTGCATGTTGACATACATGTCTTGCATGTTAAATTATAGCTAACATAAATACTTCACATGTTGACATTTTGAATGTTAACATAATTATATCTTGCGTTTTGACATAAAGTATAGTTCAAACTCTATTTTATTCACATATCTAGAAGTGAATAAGATTTGGCAGAAGGCCTATCCTATTTTAGCCCTCTAGATGAAAACATAAATTAATTAGTAATTGAAGGAAAAAATTAGAATGTACAAAAGAAAAGAAAAAAAAAAAAGGTTCAGAAAAAAGCAAAACTTCAGAGAAAAAATAGGCAATTTCAAAGTAGTACCAGTTTAGAAATACACGTACTTTATAAAAATCGTTTTGTTGTTGTATATGCAGTACAGATATTTGTTAATTAATATCAAGTCAATAGTTAGGACTACCATTTAATATTTATTTATCTATTATTATTAATAATAATCAATTTTCAGAGATATGATCAAATTCAAAAATATTATGCATTGATTGCATGATAAAAGTACATCTATACATCTATTGCATGCGCGGATCTAGAGGGGAGGGGGTGGGGGCGAGGGGGTCCGGACACCAGACTTTGCAGAGTTGTTAAATGTATATACTAAACCAATGAAAAATGATCCATCCACCCCCAAACGCGGAGCCCTCCCCGAAAACACAAGTGATCGTAACTGGTATGAAGTTTTAAAAGTCAACAACTCCCCCATCCATCCCCACAAAATAGGGCTCTCGTGTTTGGGAAATGAGCCTTAGTTTTGTTTTGTTTTTGTTTGTTTTTTTTTTTGGGGGGGGGGGGGGGGGTTTGCTTCTCAAGGAATGTCTGGTTTGAAATATTTTGTTTGACTGGGATGGAACCCCCACCCATCCACCCCCTTGGGAAAAAATTCTGGATCCGCGCCTGTTTTGGAATTGTATATTTTGGTCATACAATAAAAGGAATGTAGTCGGGACAATAATCTCACATTTGAGATTAATTCTGCAAAAATTGATCATTACATGTATATAAATCAGCCATCAAATTACTAGCATTGTTCTTCCATCTGACGATATTATTATATACGTGTATTTTCTTATTCCAAAAAGATTTTTTTTTAAATTACAACCTATCGTTTAAGCCGAATGCATGCCTGTTAAAACACAACTGTCAGACCATTATTAACACATTGTATTGTATACGGATTTTTTCTATTTGCTCAATTATGACAAGGACCACATGGCGTATGTAACCAGTCAACAGGGGGTGCTTACTTCTACATAGCACATGATCCCGCCTCGGACGTTTTCAGGGTCCATGTTTGCTTTGAACTAAAATGTATTGTTTCTATCTCCATCTTCCATTTACAGAGAAAACAATCCGTGAGTAACAGAAGCAAATTTTACGGGTGAATATTGGCGCCACACACATTTTCTATACATAATAGTAAAAAAGAGGCTACCGAACAACGTATTTAAAGCAGAAATCAGTTCAGTATTGAAAAATTGAAGGGGGTGAGTTGACTTAAACTACCCCAGGATGCATCCATATATCCTGGTTTTGCTGTTTTTGAGCCGAAATATGTTAATTGAAATTTTTAAAAATTCCCCCCTTGTTTTCTTATGCTAACCTTGATCGTTCATTGTGGTCCTACTATACTCCGTTTTAAAACAAATTTGAGTCTACATAATCCAGGGATGTTTGGGGTCCTGTCACAAGCTGTGTTCCCAGCGGGGTTGCTATTATTTTTTTTCATTGGAATCCCAGGGAAAGTGCTCAAATCTTTCTGTAAAGTTTTAACAGTGTGAAGATGTCACGGCGTCAGGCTACGGCGACAGACGCGTGTCTACGGCGTTTTCGCGGCGTGCGACAGAGTTCCCACGGAAATATCACTGCGATTTCACCTCACGTTCACGGCGTTCTCTGTGCTGGCTGTATACATAATGTTCATCTTCGCTAGCCGAGGGGTTCTGATACGCTACTCTCCTCATAAACCCCTGGCATACGGTGTTCATAGAAGATGAAATGTTATGATTTAAAGATATTCGTATGTAAAACTTTTGATCCTCTGTTATGCCCCCAACCCCTTAGGGATTCATAACTTGGAAGTTTTTATTCTACAATACCTCAGGTTTCGTGTGTATAAATATGACTTTTAAATTTAGTTTGTGACCATAATTTTAAATATCACCAATCATGGCTTAGTTGATCTTAAAAAGAAGATTTTTTAAAAATATATCCTGTACACCAGTAAGTTAGTATTTGATCGGGTATATATTAACCCCTGCACTAGTGTGGGATCAGATTTTGTACAAACTTGAAATCAGAATTGTTATCGAGAAAAACTATTTAATGATATTCCTTAGATATGTCTATATCTATTTTAAAACCTCAATCCCTCTTGTGGCCCCGACTTACCCCCGGGGTTTATGAGTTTATGATATGAACAAATTAATCTAGAATAAATAATTTCATTAATGAAGATTTCAAATAAGAATCATTTTTTCATGTCCATGGGGAATTGTGAACTGGACACCACACCTCCCACCCCACCCCCGATATTCAACCCCGGGATTAATTGTTTGATATTTTTCACAAAATATATTTATATTACATGTAACGTTTTTTCTCTCTATGGGGTGTTTGTTTCTACCCGCGTCACAAAATATTGTGGATCCCGTGTATAAATTCAGGAACTCTAGATCTTTATAGATCTAACATAAGAACAACGACAAAGTTCGTTTCAACGAGTGTATTAATAATATCCAAGAGTAGTTTTTCAAATCAATTTCAAGCTATGTATATCAACTCACTAACTCTCTCCCCTTATATACCCTGTCTGACACCTAACGTGATTTAGGGCACCTAGTTAGGGCATTCGGCTCCATCGTTAGGGCACCTGTTAGGGCGTTAGGCTGCATCATTAGGGCACCCTGTTAGGGCAATCGGCTCCATCATTAGGGCACCTATTAGGGCAATCGGCTCCAAGTATTAGGGCCTCTGCACCATCGTTAGGTGTCAAGACACTTGATACAATTAGGGCATCTGATAAGCGCCATAATTAGGACACTAATTAGACTTCCAAGATAAGGGCACTAATCAGGTACCATGGTTAGGGCTTATCAGATAAACAAAATCCCTATCTCTGTTTTATTTATAACAATAACATATTTTCATGTAAAACAAAAACATTACATTGGTCCCTCCTTTCGAAACATGACTTCCATTGTCATCAATTTTTAAAACATGAACATGAATTATATGTAAAATCAAAATACACAAAAGCCAAAAAATCAATAAAAAGACAAAAAGTAAAACAACAAAATTATGTCAAATAAAAATGTCACTAGATAAAAAAAAATCTAAAGTTCATCACACTGGTAGCATCATTGGTCTTGGGATTTCCCCGGCCTTATTTTCAACATTTTCTCTTTTCTGGATTTAGATTTTTCTTCCCTAGGGTCTAGGCCATATAAAGTTGACTGACACCTGACCTGCGGCATCAGTCATCTTAGTTATATAATATAATTCCGTACAGCTCCCTTTTCAACACAATTTTGGTCTCGAGAACTGCCGCTTGGTTGAAATCCTCCTCCTTCTCTCTGGTTCCATGGGTTGTAAGGGCGTCCCCTCCTCCCTGGTCATGTACTGGTACAAGTACTTGGGGTTCTCATGTTTTTATAGATACTGTTGAAACCGTCACCTGCGCTTGGAGGTTTGGCAGTATCCGCAGCTGCTATTTCATTATCCCTTTCCCCATCTTCAACCTCATACACAGGCCTGTAGCCTGGTTTGGTCTCCTTTATTAATTCGTTTTCCCCAATTCGTAAGCATTCTTCTTGCATCGCATTAAGAACTGCTTCTTGAAGTGTCCTGGGTCTGGTCCTCTTCACTGCAAGTCGAAAATCTTCAGATTGTCCACACTTATCTAAGAAGGACTGTATAGCTTTTTCTTCCACCAAATCTGGATTTCCTGGATAGGCCCTTCGGTACAGATCTTCGATGGCCTGTCCAAAGTCTCGCAGGGACTCACCAGGTAGTCGTCTCCTTAATTTTACATCCGCAATATATTTTTCTTTCATTGCAGAAAGGCCGAATCTTTGGTTCATCTTATCTTTAAGTTGCTCATAGTCTTTCTACAATATTTCGAAAACATCTCAGAATTAAACTCATGGGGGCCCGAGAAATCTCGCAGAGTTCTACTTAGCACTTTGCGAGGACAGGCCGAGAGATATGCCTATGGAATGCCCCTTGCAAAGTGCTAAGTAGAACTCTGCGAGATTTCTCGGGCCCCCATGAGTTTAATTCTGAGATGTTTTCGAAATATTGTAGAAACTCATCCCAAACATCATCATTGGCCCCTGAGAAGGCCCTCCTCACTGGGTATTCGTTGGTTCGTTGACCAGCATTTGGTGTCATAGGACTGTATTTAGGTGTCCCGTCAGCCATAGGAAATTCAAAATTGCACCCAAGTCCCTGAGGAGACTGATTGCCCAAACAAGGGGTAGCGCGTCCAGATTGCCCAAAAACCTTAGGTTCCTGATAGGTACCTGTAGGGGCGTTAGGCGCACTACCACCAATATAGGGTGTATCAGTAGGTGTCAAAGAAATTCCCGTTTTCTTACTGGCATTTGTCAGACCTGATTCTCTGTACTTCCATGCTTCGCCGATTACCATAACAAGCAATACCATACTTGTTACAGATACCAGAGAAATAACTGCATTTTCATGCGATTTCTGTACGATCTTGCTTTCTGGAAAATAGGTCCAGGACATCATCAACAGAGAACATCCTATCAAAGCAAAGATTACCCAAATAAATAGGATTCTCTTTAAGCTTGGTCTTGGATTGTACTCGTTGAAAACAGAATGACCCTGCGAGTTTTGCCCGAACTCCTGAAAGTTAGGACTGTCTGGCATAACTCGACTTGTGGGCTGCAAATCTGTTGTACACCCAGAATTGACCTCTATTCCAGAGTCATTCAGAGGAGCTGGACTGTCAAAGTACTGTTCTACCTTTCTAGGCGTAATTCTCCTCCTTACAATGGGTGTCTCCATTTCAAACTCAGTGCTGTCCCGTTCCGGTGTTACACGTAGAATAACTTCTTTGGATCCCACCGCTGCCACCAATTGTAACGTTTTTTCTCTCTATGGGGTGTTTGTTTCTACCCGCGTCACAAAATATTGTGGATCCCGTGTATAAATTCAGGAACTCTAGATCTTTATAGATCTAACATAAGAACAACGACAAAGTTCGTTTCAACGAGTGTATTAATAATATCCAAGAGTAGTTTTACAAATCAATTTCAAGCTATGTATATCAACTCACTAACTCTCTCCCCTTATATACCCTGTCTGACACCTAACGTGATTTAGGGCACCTAGTTAGGGCATTCGGCTCCATCGTTAGGGCACCTGTTAGGGCGTTAGGCTGCATCATTAGGGCACCCTGTTAGGGCAATCGGCTCCATCATTAGGGCACCTATTAGGGCAATCGGCTCCAAGTATTAGGGCCTCTGCACCATCGTTAGGTGTCAAGACACTTGATACAATTAGGGCATCTGATAAGCGCCATAATTAGGACACTAATTAGACTTCCAAGATAAGGGCACTAATCAGGTACCATGGTTAGGGCTTATCAGATAAACAAAATCCCTATCTCTGTTTTATTTATAACAATAACATATTTTCATGTAAAACAAAAACATTACATTACACTTATTCATCAAGTGTACAATGGGAAAAATTATATATATAGTGGGATATTTTTTGGGAGCTGTTAGTTTGGGGGTTTTAATGGTTTTTTCCTATTGCACACAAATAATTCTTGTGAACATATTTATTAAATTCCCTCTACCCATGGATGCAATATTGTGTCAACTTGGCCGGCCCAATGGTTCTTATTAAAGCATGTTGAGAAGAATTGGAAAGAAAGTTTACAAACAAAGCGATAGACGAACGTGGACACCCTTGACTTTAATCAGAAAAGCTCACCTGAGCTGATAACATTTAGATCATAATTGTTTACAAACATGTCATTATAACGTGCTTGTTCTACCATACTTAGTGTGCCTGTAGTGGAAATGGCCAATCCGACAGTTATCTTGAAAAAGCAGGGGGAAATCGTTATTGTAAGATTGTTTACGATTCCTATTCTATCGGGAACAAACTAATAATGTTTTTGATATAATTATTATGGCATGTCATGCAGGTGTTCTCAACTATTTTTAGCATCAAACATAAAGCCATTTTTGTTGAAAAGTATGTAGGTCAAACAGATTATACGTTTTATACTTATAGTATGGCGGTCTATGTGCACTTGAATTTAATAATAATATAATTTAAATCTTACCAGTTTTGTTGAAAAAATGAATTCTTTTAAAACAAGAAGGGCTTTGTTAATAATTATGTTTTGAGTTTCGTATATATGAGAACATTTCCTAATACGAAATCCCCCCCCCCCCCGATGAAATATTGAACTATATTTGGGAAAGCAAACTATACATATTCTTTTTTTAAAAAAAGACAATAATTACTGTATTATATGTAGCTGAGTGTAAAAACAATGTCAACTTGGAACCCCCCCCCCCCCAACCTGAAAACGCAGATCTATGTGAAATTAGTATGAAAAATCATAGGTCTACTAAAACTTGAAAAGTCAACGAATACCCACCACCCCACCACCACAATATTCTGGGTTAGAATTTTTTTGACTTGGGTGAAAAGACACCCCCCCCTTTTGGAAAAAATTCCTGGATCCGCACCTGTTTGATATGGTTAATTTCGGGAGTCATGAAATACAAGAGTGGCTTAATTTGGAATAATGAACAATGGATCATTATTTATATTTGCTTAAAAGTTCCTTGGTGTAAATAAAGATGCCATGGCTTCTTTTCATGATTTATGAAGTGTTAAGCTAAAACTACAAGTAGTGCTTGCAAAATTGAATTCTGTTCATAAAAATTTAAATGTTGAGAGTCTGAGACATAAAGTTTTATCAAAATTGTATGATTTTTTAGGAGGATTGTCCCATTCCAGAACCTAAGCCAGGAGGTATGTATCAGTACTTTTTTTTCTTTTTAAAGAAATTTTTTACAAATTGATTAAAAGCTGATTTATATTTTGCTTCTGATGTTTTTCTTTGTTGGTGGGATTAATTTTTTTTAACAAAACTTAGCTTCAAAGGTGATGTGTATCATTAATGCAGACTTGAAACTTTCCCTGGAGCAAATAAATTCTCTGATTTAAATTCATTGTTAAATATCAAATACAAGTTTACTTCACATAATTTAAGAGCCCTAATTCTTTTAAAAATTTTAAACAAATGTTTTTTGATGCGGCCGAATCAATCGATTCAGGGTGTGTATTGTTTTTGTCCTGTCTGTTTGTTTATCTGTTTGTCTGTCTGTTGTCAACTTTAACCTTTGTCATAACTTTTGAACCATAGAAGATAGAGACTTCATATTTAGTATGCATACTCCACTAATTAAGTTCTTTCAAATGACACCAAGGTCAGTGACCTTGTCACTTTGACTTGATCTATATGCTACAAATAGCTTTTTTGAACTTTAGCCATAACTTTTGAACCATAGTAGAAAGAGACTTCATATTTAGTATGCATACTCCACAATTTCAAGTACTTTTTATGATCAAGGCCAATGACCTTGTGACCTTGACCATTATGCTAAAAATAGCTTTTTCAATTTTTGTTGCCGCCGGGTGCATAGTGTTTCACAAACACATCTTGATTTAAAATTGATGAGGTTATATTGGCAAGTCAGAATTGCAATGAGAATTTTATGAAAGTGTTCATGAAAACTCAAGTAGGTTCATAGCCTGCTTATTGTACATTTATTATATAATTGCAAAATTAATTTTTATGCCCCCGTAATTGAAGATTTGGAGGTATATAGTTTTTGTTGTGTCCATCTCTGTCTGTCTGTCTGTTTGCAAAAACATGAACCTTGCCCATAATTTTTGATTTAGTGGAGCTATGACTTTCATATTTCACATGTGAATTCCTTGTGACAAGACCTTTCTTTTGGTACCACCAAATTTAACCTTTTGACCTTGACCTTGGAGTTTGACCCATTTTTATACAAAAAATCCAAACTTTTACTTTGGTCATAACTTTTGAATTGTAGATACTGGGAATTTTATACTTCAGAAATAGATTTCTTAAGATCTTTTATTGGATACCAGCAACTATGACCTTTTGACCTTGACCTTGGAGATTTCTGTACTTATGGAAAAACTTTAACCTTGACCATAACTTTTGAATGATAAAAGCTAGGGCTTTCATATTCACACATGTAATTCTTTTGTAAAGACCTTTTATTGGATACCAAGAACTTTGACCATTTGACCTTAACTTTGGAGTTTGACCTACTTTTAAAAAACAACCTTGACTATAATTTCTGAAGGGTTAGGGCTAGGGCTTTCATACTTCACATATTTAATCCTTGTGACCAGACTTTTCATTTGATATCAAGAACTTTGACCTTGACCTTAGAGTTTGACCCATTTTACACAAAAAATCCAAACTTTTACTTTGGCCATAACTTTTAAACAGTAGATACTAGGAATTTCATTTTTTTCAAATTTCAATTCTTTGTGGTATACCTTACATTGGATACCAACATCTTTGACCTTGGTTTCTTTTGACCTTGGAAATTTCATTACTCACGAAAATTTTTTAACCTTGGCCATAACTTTTGAATGGTAAGGATTAGGACTTTCATATTTCACATAATTATGCAATCCTTTTGAGAAAACCTTTCATTGAACACCTCTGATTGAACATCAAGAACTTTGACCTTGAAGTTTGACCTTCTTTTAAAAAACAGACCTTGACCATAACATTTGAAGGGTTAGGGCTAGGGCTTTCATACTTAAAATATTTAATCCTTGTGACAAGACCTTTCATTTGATATCAAAAACCTTGACTCTTTGACCTTGACCTTGGAGTTTGACCTACTTTTAAAAACTTTAACCTAGGCCATAACTTTTGAATGGTAAGGACATTTTAAATATGTAATCTTTGTGACAAGACCTTCCTTTAAAAACCAACAACTTTGACCCTTTGACATTGACCCTGGAGTTTGATGTACCTTTGAAAAACTTATCCTTGGCCATAACTTTTGAAAAGGTAGTGCTAGGGCTTTCATTTTTCACAATTGTATTTCTCGTGACAAGTCCTTAAATTAACTTCGGTTACCAACATAATTTAATATGCACATAAGAAAAGTTTAATCTCCACAATGTTGCCATACAGGGCCATCAGTGTTTCATAAACACATTTTGTTTTATTAGTGACAAAATGATAAAATGAAATTTTACTTTGAAATAATTGTCAGATAAATTATAGGATACAAACAATCAAGATACATACAATAACATGTTTTGATCAGACCAGAAAATAAATGATTTGCAATTGATGTTCTTCAAGTCATTCATAAAAAGTGATAAATATTTTTAATTAGTGTGTGACAAACTCTGTAGTATTTGACCTTTATTGAACTTTTCAGAGGTCCAGCTTCAGATGCAGGATGTTGGGATATGTGGGTCAGACGTTCATTACTGGCAGCATGGGAGAATCGGTGACTTTGTTGTTAGGGCCCCCATGGTTCTTGGCCACGAGGCAAGTGGGGTTGTCAGCAAGGTGGGAGAGGGTGTATCCAACCTTAAAGTAGGCAAGTGCTGTTCAAATCTTCATCTGAGTGCGATACTTATTTCAATGCTGTAGAAGGCCAACAATTAGAGACCAAGGCAAATGAAAATATGTTAATATTTTTAAGAATTTTAACGTAGAACTTGTTAGCCCCTGTTGCATTATGTTGTGATTTTGTAGGTGACAGAGTGGCCATAGAGCCTGGTGTTCCATGTAGATCCTGTAAACATTGTAAGACAGGTCGTTACAATCTCTGTCCTGACATGAGGTTTTGTGCCACACCTCCCATTCATGGCAACTTGGCAAAATTTTACACTCACGCTGCAGATTTTTGCTTCAAGTAAGAAAAAAATATTATAAAAGAAGTATGTCAAGAATTCAAATTTTTTCTTTCGCTTAATATTTGAGTATTGGTCAGAGAGTCATAAAGGCCCTTGAAAGAGAAATAATGCTATGAATGTCAGCTAACTGACATGGAAGGTAAATCGACCAACAATTCAATGTATTTACATTACATATGTTTTTTGCATATAAATTGAATGGAAATCTATTGCATTCAAAACACCATAACACGGACAGGGTGCCAAAAGGTTAAAGCATGCGTTTTAGTTTGATATCACAATCATTGAACGCTGAGGAAGTGCAACGTCATAAGCAAAAATAAACAAGATGTGTTTGTGAAACACTATGCGCCCGGCGGCAACAGGGTTCTAAAAAGCAATTTTTAGCAAATAGGTCACAGTCAAGGTCACACGATCATTGTCCTTGGTGTCCTTTGAAAGCACTTATTTAGTGGAGTATGCATACCAAACATAAAGTCTCTATCTCCTATGGTTCAAAAGTTATGGCGGACATTCATAAAAAAGCTATTTTTAGCATATACACTGTAGGTCACAGTCAATGTCACAAGGTCATTGACCTTGGTGTCATTTGAAAGCACTTAATTAGTGGTGTATGCATACCAAACATAAAGTCTCTATCTCTTATGGTTCAAAAGTTATTGCAAACATTCGAAAAAAATCTATTTTAGCATTTAGGTCACAGTCAAGGTCACAAGATCATTGACCTTGGTGTCAAATGAAAGTGCCTCATTAGTGAAGTATGCATACCAAATACGAAGCCTCTATCTCTCATGCTTCAAAAGTCATGGCGAAAGTTCGAAAAAGCTATTTTTAGCATAAAGGTCACAGTCAAGGCCACAAGGTCATTGACCTTTGTGTCAGTTGAGAGTGCTTAATTAGTGGAGTATGAATACAAAATATTAAGTCTCTTTCTCTCACGGTTCAAAAGTTATGGCAAAGTTTAAAGTTGACAACAGACAGACAAACAGATAAACAGACAAACAGACAGACAGGACAAAAACAATATGTGCCCCGAAAAAATTCGGGCGCATAAAAAATCACGCTCAAATTAACCAGAAGCTGTTATGTTTGCTGTTCCATTAACTATAGTTTGCACGAAGGATAATACATAGGTTTTTAAATATAAATTACATTTGCAGTCTAGGTAGAGAGTTAAATATAAGCAATGAATCATTATTTCTTTGAAAGATATACTGTATATGCAGAAATTTTAGCAAGGATTTAATTTTGGCACTATTAGCGAGGGTCCTGAGATCGCTAATATTTATATCGCTAAAAATAAACTGTTTTATTGATAATATCTTCATTAGTGAGCATTTTAAAATTGCTAAAATTACTTCTCGCTAATAATAAAATACCATATTTTTAGGACAAATTTCGAAATTTCCGTCTCACTAACGTGTGTTACTCAATTTGTTTACACACACCGTTGCAGTTATGAGACTATATCTTTCACAAAATAATGATTCATTGCTTAAATGAAAATATGCTGCCAGTTTTTAATGTGGAACATAGGTATCCAAATTTTACAGAAAAACATTGGTATTCCAGGTTACCAGACAATGTTAGTACAGAGGAGGGGGCTTTTCTTGAGCCTCTGTCTGTGGGGGTCCATGCCTGCAAGAGGGGAGGGGTCAGTTTAGGGAGCAGAGTGCTGGTCTGTGGGGCAGGGCCAATTGGACTGGTCAACCTAATGACAGCAAAGGCCAATGGAGCAGCGGAAGTTTGTATCACAGGTCAGGTCATTATATCTCTCCGGTATAGTGTGAAGGGTCAAAATATCAAGTTGTTCTTGTGTGTGTAATCAAGCCTTTAATAAAATACATTACATTTATTAAAGGTTAAGTGAAATGGCTTGTAAATTAACAACAACAAAAAAAGAAAGAAAAACAGATACTGAAGAACAAAGCAGCATCAAAATCTGCACACAATTAATGAAATGAAGATATTTTGGGAAAACCTAATGTCAAATCTAGTGATTTTTTGAATTGCACAGTTTTGGGTCTTTGCAAGGCCACCTGTAACATCATTACGTGAACTATCCATCTAGAATGCAAAGAAAGCTAAGAGCAAATATTGCTATCTACCTAAATGATAATCATTACAAATGGACATCAAGCAATTTGATAAATAAATTAGCATGTCTTAAGACGAGTGTAACATCTGTAAGTTGCAGTTCTTGACTTAAAACAAGAAGAGACAGTTCTTATTTGTTAGATTTCTAAAATTAACAGATATTGATGAAAAAAGATTAGAAATCGCAAAGAAAGTTGGTGCTGACCACACCGTTCTTGTAAAAAGCCGAGATGGAAGAGAAGTGGCAAAACAGATAGAGGAAGCGATGGGGCAGAGACCAGAGATCACCATAGAGTGCAGCGGGGCACCACCCAGTATACAGACAGCAATCTACGTATGTCTGCATACTTAAGAGATAGATTGATTTAATATGAAATATATTACAAGCCATAATACTTTGAAATGCACATGCTTCACTTTAAAGATTGACATGTTCTAGACATTATTGTATTTAAACTTGAACACAATGTTGTAAAATTTTTGTTGCCAGGCAACAGAGTCAGGTGGTTGTGTTGTGTTGGTTGGACTGGGACCAGCAGATATAACTTTACCAATTGTCGATGCTTCTGTCCGTGAAGTAGATATCAGGGGTATCTTCAGATATGTTAACTGGTAAGATTTCTACTTTTGTGAAGGATTGTTTAGTGTTTTGTGTTGTTTTGCTTTTAAAATGGATAGATGGAACAGCGTGCAATTTAGATATTTGTTAATGGTTTGTTACAAGTATTCAAAATACTCATATATATCAATTTACACATTAATTGAATTACTTATTAATGGGGGGAAAATATGAATACCAAGAAATTACAGGAATATTTTTCCACCTCAACAATTTTCAATATCAATTCATGTATGCAATTTGTCTATTCTTCCAATGCTTTAAAACTTGTACAAGTTGTAAAATGCATGATAATCAAAGTACTTATAGAAGTTACAGTCATGTAATCTAAGCCTTGAACAAAAAAAGACACCCAACATTGTGACCTCCTCTGTATTGCATAGTTTCAGTTAGTGCCTGAATTTCATTTTGTTGAAAATAACTAATTGTTTTGGATGTAAAATGTAAAACTACTTGTTGCAGGATAAACTAGATACAGGCCAATTGTCATGAAATATAAACAGTACCATATTTCAGTTTGGTCAAAAATGGAGAGCAAGCCTCATCTTCTTAAATTCTATTGCAATTTCTTACCTTTGCCCAAATATTGCTTTTATTTCAAAACAGAAACCATGCATTCCAAATATATTTAATCTTTTTATTTATTATTTAATTGCAGCTATCCAACAGCCCTAGCCATGATTGCTTCAGGAAAAGTCAATGTGCAACCCCTCATCACCCATCGATTCAAACTACAGGACAGTGTCAAGGCATTTGAGACTGTTGCTAGGGGTGAGGGGATAAAGGTCATGATTCACTGTGGTTAGTAACCAATCAAATTGTCCGGTTAATGCAGCCATACTCCGGTGAAGGGAACAGACATGGAATATTGAATGAAAAATAGAAATATGTTCTTACCTAATTGATAATTCATGAGACTTATTAGATGATCTTTGTTGAAACTGGCAGATGTATAAAGATGAGAAAAAGTATTCAGCACCTCATGATCTGAAAGGCAGCTGCATGAACACCTACGGTACCATGCAATTTTGTTCCAGTTGAACAACATTAGCAGTCTGAATGTTGGCCATTTGCTTTCATGATTGTCTTTGTGCTTCTGCAATGTAAGACTGATTTTGTGTAAAAACTTTGATTGCCATTTATTGATTTTGTCTGTGATATAGTCATATTAATATTGTAGAGATGCATTTAATAGATTTACCTTGACATGTACTTTGTGTCCATGATATTACTTGTATACAACATTAAAGTTTCTATACAATCTTTACCTCTTATTTTGTGGACATATTTGAACAGGACTGTAAGCTATAAATGGTTCAACAAATTGATAAAACTGTAATCAGATCAACTTTGTACATAACATATTTCATGTAACATTAACTGGTATTATTTGGATGTGAAGCTTTTTTTTTTTTATTATTGTTTGGAGGGGTGTTTTAAAGTAAAAGTGTTACATGCATGAACGTTCAGAAATATTTTTTCGCCATAGATTTAAACCAAACTACACTGGGGAAAGCAACACTTGTCACTATAAAAATTCAGTTTCCATTACATTTATGGTACCATTTGATTTCACAGTAACTGCTCTACCAGAAGGAAATGCATTCATAAATTTTATATTGATATTTGAATGTTTAACCTAGGGCGTAAAGTTTTTGTCATGTTCATCTTCTGACACCCTCTATCCTATCATCAAACCTTGGGTTTACAGTTTCAAAGAAAGAAAATGTTCAAGATATATGGTGCATATTGAGGAGAACGAAAGCCCATTGAGCTCATTTTGGTAGGTTAAAAAAAATAATTTTCGCGTTATAACGCGTAACTTTCGTGAATAAACGCGAAACTTTCGCGTTATATCGCGAAGTTATATGTATATAGTAGGGATGTCAATTCCTAACCGGTTAATCGATTAATCGGTCGGAACGTTGCTAATCGGTTAGAAAATCGCCAATCGGTTAGTCGGAAAAATAAAATTCATGTAAATTAAAACGTAGTTTCCTTAAAATTCATTATTTTTTTAATAGAAAGGAAACCTCTGCATAGATGTTTTTCTAGTGTTTTTACATATCTTATAATTAAAAATTTTTGGAGGCTTTTAGCTCTCAAGATTGAGGTCGCAGGGGTAATTGGTCAATTTATAAAGTGTTAATTACTGTTTTTAAAACATTATGCCGTTATGCCAGATAGTCCCTTGATTTTTTAATGATTTTAATGACATCACCGTTAAGCGCGTTTACTTATGGTATGTCTATATTTTGCCTTATCTATTAAATTATTAGAAAGAACGTTACATAAACCGTAAATAAAGCGAGAGTTCCAACATAAATTTAATTATGGTAACTTCTTTAACATCTGCCTTTAAAATTATCTCTGTCTGATTTCTGAAGCAAGATTCACGGTTTTCATAATTTTTTCTTGTCTATTGAAATTAAAATGAAAAACTCTTTTGTACATAAAATTCCCAAATCAAAATAATAAACAGAATGTAACTTCTAATGTCTTATTTTTAGCATTCTTGTGTATATGAAAAGGAAATGTATATCTTGATACGACTAACCGGTTAATCGGTCGGAACGTTTTGCGGTTAACCGATTAGCAATTTAGCAATCGATTGCCATCCCTAGTATATAGTAATGTTACTTAGAGACCTTTGATCTTGAATGACAGATTTGAAACATGAAGGCAGACGGGAATTTCTATGAATTTAGGAATGACTTTTTCTCAGAAAATGTAAAGGAGAAATGACGCGAGAATAGGATAGATTAGTCTTCATTTTTGCATTTCATTTAAAATCCCTATTCGTTAATAAAATGAATATTCCTTTATAGATTTTCTTGTTTTCACTAGTTGAATTCAAGAAATTCTTGACTAATTTTTTGAGAGTTTGTACACTTTGAATTGTTGAATTCAAGAAATTCTTGACTAATTTTTTGAGAGTTTGTACACTTTGAATTCATTGTCAATATTTCGTAAGCAATGGTATGACCACGTGGTGCAACCTCAAAATACGATGTTGTATTTCTACAGTGAGTCTTTTTGGAGACAAATGAACATTGTCACATTACGTCACCCATGTGATGGGACAAAATTGACAACTTCATTTGATCAATTTCAATGAATTTTATTTCAAAATCTACAGAGAATGTAAAAGAAAATGACACCGACAAAGGGTGATCTTTTCCCATAAATTCAAAACTGACTTCTGGAAAACTCGCATAATCTTTGATTTGTTTGAACAGCATTGAAAGACACAAAATGTGACCAAAAGAGATTTAGAAGGGGAAATTGTAACGAATGAATTAGATACTAAAACCAAATGAAAATTGAAACTTATGCAAATGTCTCAGTTAAACAGCAAAATTATTACGCGCAAGTTACGCGTTTATTCGCAAAGGATTGGCGTTTATTCGCGAAAGTTGCGCGTTATAACGCAAAAGAATTTTAACTTACGAAAATGAGCTCAATGGGCTTTCGTAGAGGAGAACAATTCAAATTCTTTAATATTTTATTTTTGACTTCGGCCTTTCCTTTGACCTTGACCTCTGTTAATTTAAATTAGAAATTAGCTCAAATTTAATAATACCACTAAATTATTAGAAAAAAATCTTCGAATGCTGTACACTTTTAAGTAACTTAAGTAAGAATGATCTTGGAACTTCACGCCCCCCCCTTCCCGAAAAAAAACAGGCCGCTGTAAAGTGAAGAAGAAATGTACATATGTTTTTTTCTTGATACTGTTTTTCTTGGCTTTGTATTTTTTCTGTTCTCATTCTTCTTCATCTTTTTTGTGCTTTCAACTAATACTTGGGTTGGATTTTTCAGTGGACCCCCCCCCCCCCCCCCCCCCCATCGAAAAAAAATTCCTGGAACCGTGCCTGGTTTAAAAGTTATATTTTTAAAAGTGATGTTTAAATACATTTATCTTTTCATAACATATAAATTATATACTACCTATTTACAGGTCCTTTCTTACGTTCTGTAAATCATATTTAAAGTTCTTATATTAATCACCGCGGACGACGCGTGCACCACTGATATGCACAACACAGATATATATCGATCGTACAATCTTTACATTCAGTAGTGGATGTGTTAGGGGTATATATAAGCTGTTTAAACTGTACAACAGTTCAAAGTCCACCCATTTGTCAACAAATCGCCCCCACTTTTGTCTGGAGTGCTGAGTGACCAGCAACAGGTAGGTTCACAGAGAATACAATTTTGTTCACGAGTAATGCATGACATGGATGAAAATCCAGCTTATTATACTTTCTGGTACTAATATAAGAGATCGATAAAAGACTAGTTTAGACCATTCAATAAGATTGTGATTCATATTCTTGTTGCCCGAAGATTGGTTTCTTCCTCTGACTGTTGCCTGTCTATGAGGAGTCTTATTTTCACAAATGGAAGGTGGATTCCAGATTTTCACTTTGTGGGAGTGCCGAGAAGCAAATTTTATGCGGGGGGGGGGCTAAATTCAGCATAAAATATTTTTACTTTCTAGCGACAATTAAATTAGCTGCAGAACTGTAGCTCTCCGTACAATTTTTTGACAGCCCGACGGAGATTTTTTTTCACACCAGCGAGCTACAGTTCTGCATGCACCCAATGAGTGCTTACTTCAAAGTTCGCTCACTTTAAATCAAGTATACTTATATTAAGTGTACATAGATATTGTCTGAACAGGAGGATAAATTAACATAACATGTTTAAGGATTTCTGTGTTCAGATGTTCAGATTAAGTTGATTAACTGTGTATCGATTTGTATGCCCTCCTTGGTCTGCAGCTGAAGACGATACCCACAGAGATTGCTTGGAGTTGGAGCCTGCAGCTAGCAGAATGATTTTGATTTCCCTGATGCAATCAATTGAATAAGTACAATCTTTTATAAAATAGATTCAGGAATACTAGTACATCTCGTGTACTTGAAAAACATTCTAATTGTACATACAAGTACCCCGTTATCCAAATTTAAGTTAAAAGATTTTGATATATTTTTTGGAGAACAAATCTTCTAACAAATTGTTGGAATTCGCCCTTGGAGACCAGTTTCGCTCCATTATCAGAAAAACCCATTCAAATGATGAGGAAACAAAATTCATGATAAAACGTGATGACTTCAACTTTCCTTTAATATGTTTGTAGCAATGTCATATGGGGTTTACGTATGTCACCCAGTTGATTCGACACACACAAGCATGTGACTTCTACTAAACCAAGGTCTCCTTCATTGTCATTCATTGTGATATGCTCGGGCGCAACAAAAAAAATGTCCATTGTGTGCCTCTGCCATGTCAGGAAAATAGTTGTTAAAATATATCTGCATAGGTCAATGCATTAGAAAATGAAATAAACACAAATGCACCTTCAATAAAATAAATCATTAAGAGAAAGCCTCAAAGGACAACTTGGGATATACATTTACTGAAGTCACATCGACCAGCTAAAAACAATCAGATGTAAAGAAGGCGTAAGAGTTTATATACCCCTGTGCTGATTATAGGGGACGAGAAAACAAATATGAATGGTATAAGTGTGTCTATTTACAAGTCATGTTAAGCGTTAAGACCCAACTTTCTTTATAGAAAGACCATTTAATACCTCAGTGAGAAATCTCACAATTTTATGTGGTGCATGTTTTCTCGATCTCTTAAACGTCTTTAAAAATATTGTAGAATCAAATCAATTTCAATCATTTGCATGCTTTGAACTCCACAACTAACTTTTTTATTCTATTTTTCACAGAATATGGAAGTTACACAAGAAGAAATAATTCGCCGACTTAAGAATGTGTACTTAATTCCGTTTTATGTACTCTGTGCAGTGTACTTCGTGCTGTATCAACCATTTTGGCACTACCCTGAGGAGACATTTTCTGCAGCATTCTTCAAAGTGCTACCTATATTTTCCTTAATTGCATTTGTTAGATTAAATGCCGAGGATGAAAACATTTTGCAGAATCCAATTCCCAAAAGTGACTTCCACAGATTTACAATTCTAGGCTTAATTTTCTCCAGCATTGGAGATGCCTGTCTCATTGCTAGGGAAACCATGTTCATTCCAGGAATGTTATTTTTCGCCATTGCGCAGGCTTGGTATTTATACGCGCTTGGTCCCGGAAGTAAGGGAAGCAGGTTACAATCCATATTTTACCTTGGAGGAGTCGGGACTTTTCTATTTATGGAATCTGGAATAGAGAGCATTTTTATGAAGTTTCTAATTCTGATCTACACGGTTCTGATTTTTACGGTTGCTTGGAGGGCGGCGTCACGATATGAGCGGGAAAACACGTACCCTGCCTTCCTGGGATTTGTAGGAATACTTTTGTTCACTCTATCTGATTTCTTAATAGGTGTCAATAAATGGAAATTTTACATTCCTTTTTCAGAATGTATAGTTATGATGACTTACTATGGCGGCCAGTTTGGCATCGCTCTAGGCTCTCTTAAAGAATAAGTTTAATAATTTTGTTTTACTTTTTAATTGAGTACTCTAGTATTCAATTCACTCCATGATTGTTCAGAATGTTCAGAATGTGTTCATTGCACCGATTTGCACGTCTAAAATTTTCGATATGCATGCACTATGGTCTTGAAGCAAAGTTCACAAATAATTAAAATGGTACCTTACTTTTGCTCATTTGCTTTGTCTGTACATGTATTTTTAAAATAAAATGTTTCCTGTTTAATATAGTGTTTAAGGGTTTTTTTTTTTTAAATAAAAAGTTCGTCGAAGATTCATTAAGTCCTAAATTGCTCTCTATCTGCAGTCAGGTACCTGTATTCATGAAAATTTCAGAGGCATTGTCAAAGTGAATACATGAGCAAGTGTAAGTATTCAACATAAGGAACCTTGGTAGTTTAAGATTAGAATTTCAGATACCTTGTCCTTGGAGATAAATTGAGTTTAAATCATTGAATATATATATATATATATAGTCCAGATTTGTGTTCTTACATAAACGGACGGACAGACAGACGACCATGGAAAATTAACGAAAGTCTTTTTCCCTTCAAGAAAGAGATGGCCGTATATTTTATAATTTTCAACGCCTTGTGAAAAAACGTGAGTTGGTTTTAGGGTAGTCTTATTCTCGGGTTCTGTTTGTTTATATGTTGTTTAACGTCCCTCTCGGGAATTTTTCTCGAGTGTGGAGTCGCAACCACTTGCAGATAGAGAGCTGCAAATTTTGTCCTATACTCGGCACTCAAGGCCATTGAGCAGTGAGGGATGTTTTTCGTACCACCACTCACTGCGACAGGGGACCTCAATTCTCTTCCGAAGGACTGGTCTCCACGTCCCACAGCTACAACTTCATTATTCGTAGGGAAAGTAGTTCCGGAGAATAGACACTATATGGAGTTTGACACTGTCCCACGAGGGCCACCCTCAGGTTCTGAAAATCAGACATTGCATAACTGATTGATTGTATATAGTTTAATGTCCCTTTCGAGAATTTTTTTACTCATATATGGAGATGCCAACACTTGCCGATGGAGAGCTGCAAATTTTGTCCTAAACTGGGCACTTAGGGCCATTGAGCAGGGAGGGATCTTTTTCGTGCCAGCACCTACTGCGACACGGGACCTCGTTGTTCAAAAAGGAACTTATTGCTTTGAAGTCTGACCGGTCTTCAACGGATATCCGGACGTTTCGAGGAAAAGAGTAGTTCGCCACCTCCAAGAAAACGAAAACGTCTCAAGCATGTCCTGATGTAGAAAATTCAGACAAATCGGACGCACTTGAGGGAATGATTATAAGGACCGGTGTCCACGTCCCACAGTGGAGTTCGAACCTGCGACATAAGGATCAACTCTATACTTCGCGACTCTAGACGCTCTAGATAACACTGCGCCACGCAGGCGACCACACATTGGATGATTGAAAATGTCCACAAAAATGTATCTGAATTTTTAAGGTAATGTGTATTTATTCACGGTAGTTCTCAAACTTCGCGTTTATCGTTAAAGTTAAATCACGATATATAGGGGAAATTAGTAAATATATAATAACATATAATTATAATACATGTATATAATTACTAGATGCGATCTCGTTGCGAGCATCGAGTTGGTCTTCCCTCCGATATCTGATGGAATAAGACCTGTGTTGGGATAATTCCACTGATAGGATAAAAGTGTCAAAGAGGCACATGAATTCTTCAAAATATATTTAGAAACACAAAACAATGTAGTATACCAATTCCAATCAACTTCCGGTTCTTCTTATTCTCTTCCGGTTCGACCGTATGTGCTCAAAACGACTTTTAACTCTACATCAAGCATGCAGTAATTATCCCTGAAAGTTTCGATGGAAAATACTCATTTTTAGACAACTTCCGGTGGAAATATTAAGATGCTACGCATCTTTAAATCTCTATATCAAACAATTACATTCATTAGAAAATGAGAAAAAAATCGCTATATTTAAAGTACTTCCGGTTTACAACGGAAGTGTCGATGGAAAAAAAAATTAAAAATGAAAAAAATAAAAGTATGCATATTGTTGAGAACATTATTTTGACCATCTTTTGTTCAATATTGCTTATCAAAATATTCACGCTTTTCGAGATATAAAGCATCAAAGATTTAGCATTCTGACCCCGTATGACCCCTTATTACGTAACATTTGATCACATTTTTATTATATATTAATGTTGCAAATCCCTAAGATGAATATCTTTGCCTCATTAATGTCTCATAAAATATTGATCATTAAAGAATTAAAGATGAGAGAGTTTTGGCCCCTCTAAGCCCCTAATGTGAAGAGCTAACCCCATTTTCTTGATATCAAATGAAAGGTCTTACTATAATGCACATCTTTTATTATATATGTCTTAACAAAATATTAAGAAGGAAAACGATATAAAAGAAAACGTGTCAAATTTTGCGAGATGCTTGTGAGCCTATTTTTTGAGCCCAGGCGAGCGTCAATGCCTTATCCCCTGGAAAGGTCTATATGCAAAATGTCACAACTACTATCCTTCCTCTACCTTCACTGAAAATCTCAACTCAATATCTCATGTCGTTTAGGTGGAGATCTCAGGACAAGCCTACCCTCTAAAAATCAGAAAATCGTCCATATCTCACGACCGGAAGTGACGTCATCGACGACGAAAATTTCCAACAAGGTTCAGATAAATATCTATCAGATCTGAAAGATTGGTGAAAATCAGGCGAGCCGTTTCCGAGAAATCGCGTGCACAAAATCGGTAAGAAAAAATAATAATAATAGGGAAAAAGAAACCGAACGAAAACAATAAGGTGTTCCTTTAGAGAGTTATAGATAAAAGACTTTTGGCCCCTCTGAGCCCCTAATTTGAGGGGTCAGTCCCATTTTCGTGGTATCAAATGAAAGGTCTTGTGATTTTGAAGATTTTTTGTTCATTATTTATTCAGAGATTTCTTTTCGTTCTGGAGATATACTAAATGGAAATATTTAGGGGCCACCCTTACAAGTCCTTAATGGGGCCGTTTTACAAAAATTCAAAGTATGCATATTGTTTAGAACATTACTCTTACCTTCTTTTGTTCAATATTGCTTATCAAAATATTCCCTCTTTTTGAGATATAAAGCGTCAAAGATTTGACATTCTGGCCCCTTGTGACCCCTTATTACGGAACATCTGATCCAAATTGTATCATATATTGTTGCAAATCGATCAGATGAATATTTTTGTTTCAGAAATGTATAACAAAATATTGATCATTATAGGGTTATAGAGGAAAGAATTTTGGCTCCACTGAGCCCCTAATCTGAAGAGTCAGACCCTTCTTCTTGATACCAAATGAAAGATCTTGCGAATTTGAAGATTTTTGTTCTACACTTATTCAGAGATTTCTTTTCGTTGTGGAGATATGCTGAATGGAAATATTTAGGGGCCACTCTTCCAAGTCCTTAATGGGGCCGTTTTACAAAAATTCAAAGTATGCATATTGTTTAGAACATTATTCTGATCAACTTTTGATCAATATTGCTTATCAAAATATTCCCCCTTTTCGAGATATGAAGCGTCAAAGATTCAGCATTCTGGCCCCTTGTGACCCCTAATTACGTAAAATATGATCAAAATTTTATAATATATTATTGCAAATCGTTAACATGAATATCTTTGCTTCTGTAATGTATCACAAAATATTCATCATTAAAGAGTTAAAGATGAAAGACTTTTGGCCCCACTCAGCCCTTAATTTGAGTAGTCACCCCTTTTTCTTGATAGCCAATGAAAGGTCTTGTGATTTCCAAGACTTTTTGTTCAACACCTATTCAGAGATTTCTTTTCGCTGTGGAGACATGCTGAATTGAAATATTTAGGGGCCACTCTATTTGACCTTTGAAAGAATTCAAAACACACTGTATGGTGTTCCTCATTTTCCAATGTAAAGAGACAGTCTTTGATTTAACATGTAGACGCAATTTCAATTTTATTTTTAAACAAACTAAATCGTTTAAATCTCACTCTACTTGACCTTTGAGAGATTTCATAATACGTAGTATGATCGATATTCTCTATCTTCCATAGTTACAGACTAGCCCTCTTTTAACATTTAGATGCAAATGAATTTTTTTGAAAAAATCTCACTCTTTTCCCTTAAAGAATTTCCAGTTACAGTGTGTAATATTGTTTTGAATTAAAGGAATAGGCCAAAGATCGAAGAGTACAGTCAGCCGCACTGACCGCAAGCGTCCTTGATAATGACTTTAACATTCCTGTTAAAACACCCGAGGTCACAGTTTCTTTATTATTGCATTTACAATCCCCCCCAAAAAAAGATATCGTTGGAAAGGTCTTAAAAAGATCTTTTCAATGGTTTAAATTTTTTTAAAATCGGTCAAGAAATGAAAGAGAAATGACTTTTGACAAAAATCAAAAGATATCCACCCAAGATCAAAGAGCAGCACCGAAGAGCATGGTCACTTGCAAGTGTCCTTGATAATGACATGTCCTGTCAAAATGAAAGTCTAACTTACCTGAGCCTATACATGTATTTTCTTTGTTTGTGCACGTACAATAAAAAGAAATATATCGTTGGAAAGGTCTTGAAAAGATCTATTTGATGGTGCAAAAAAAAATTTGAAATCGATCAATAAATAAAAGAGTAATGATTTTTTAAAAAGAAAATTTCTAATAGTACACTTGCACTCAAGTGTCCTAACACACCTGAGCGTATATATTGTTTATTACAGGCACGTAGCATCGTTTTTGAAAGTGGGGGGCCAACCTGAGAAATTTTTTTTAGACATTCCCGAAAAAGTTGACAAGCAAAAAAAAAAAAAAAAAAAAAAAACAAAAAAACCAAAAAAAAAAAAAACAAAATTAAGAGTTGCCCAAACTCGAAAATCCTATTTCGTGGGGGGGGGGGGGGGGCAACTTTTTCAAAGCCAACTTACTATCACTTCAAATTTTTTCCTTGCAATCCTTGCTATCACTATACTATGGTTATAAAGTGGGGGGGCCAACCATCCCATCAATGAACATTTACTATAGTAAAGGTTATGTTGGGGAAAAAAGTGGGGGGGCCAGGCCCCCCCTGGCCCCCCCGGATGCTACGTCCCTGTATTATTGTACTCAAACACAAAACAAATACATATTTGGAAAGTTCTTGTCAAGATCTATCTGATGGTATAAAAAAATAAAAATTGTTTAATTTTTTTTTTTTTGAAATATTTAACTTTAAAATTAAAAAA